ATTAAAGAAGGAAATAAAAAATCTAAAAGAGGAAATCATAGTATGGTTTAAAAAAGTTTAATAAGTTGCCATTCAGCTAACAGACCTGTCTTCATATGGAAAAAGTTTATTTAGTGAACCAGAAATAAGAGGAGAGCATATTAAAAATAATGTCATAACTATTAATGCCTATTAAGAGAAAAAAATTGAAGTATCATTTCTAAAATAAATCATCATCCGTACTAAAAAAATAAATAAAACAACTCAAATATGAATATTAAGAAGAAAGTTATAAGATATAAATAATTAGAATAATATTATATTTCAATATAAAAATAAAAAAGGAAGTTAAGCAGATTTCTTTTCGGATAATGCAATTAATTGGAAGCTTTGAGGATCAAATAATTACAGAAATATCATTTTCAATAAATAAATTATATTATATTAATTTAATTTAAAAAAAATATTGATATTAATTTTTCAATTATAAAAAGTCATTTCTATGTGTTTAACTTGAACAAGATTAGTGTATATTTTTGATGGAATCCCATTGATATAATTAAAACAAGGGCTAGAATTTTTATGATTAGATATTTTAATTACTTAGAAGAGCATAGCGGATATTATATTGGAGAAGACTCAGGGGAAGGTTATAAAATTTAATGGGATGATACTTAGAATTATTTCAAATAAAGAAGATATCCATTTTAATTTCAAAAGTATGATGAATAAAAATAGTTTGATAAAGTTTTTGAATGAGGAATGAAAAAAATGAAACAGAATACAAAATTTACTGTATTGACGATTATTTAATAAATGTTAAAAATGAAATTAAGAATAAAAAAGTTGTTTTAGATTGATTAATTTTTTGTATTGTCTGACAAATTATTTTTAATTTTTCAATAATTAAACACAGAACTATTTTCCTAATAATCTATATCCTGCTATTTATCGGTACATATATGATTTTTAATTAATCCTTAAATTATTTAGTTAAATTCTAAAATTTAAATTAAATGCTTATAAGTAAAATCACAATTTATATTAAAAAAATGATTAATAAATTAATAGCTCATTTTTTCATAATCATCAAATAGCTTATTAGAACAAATTACTCAAACTCATTTTATTACAATTTACAGCGTATTATAATGATTGAGCAACTCTTTTTTCAGTAGAAAAATGTTTTTTTTCTTAATTAACTCTTCAACTTAATGCAGAATATATTTTATTTGAAATCTAAGAGATTGTGAATTTACAATTTCTTACTTCCCATTTGATATACTTTATATTATTTAAATAACAAAAAGTTAATGTTGTCGTAAATTTTTTTAAAAATATCTTGAAACCGAATTCAAAAAATTAATACTATGAATTAATACAATTTTTACAAAAATAAAACAGTTAAAAATTTGTTCACTTTCAATTGTTAAAAAATTAATTTAAATAATTCGTGTAATAAAATAATAATTAAGAAATTATAAGCATAAGAAATAATTTAAATAAAAAATAAGAAAGACTTAAATTTGATCTTCCTAAAATCTCAAGAAATAGATCTTTTTAATTCTTTTATAAAAGTTCATAATTACTCATTAATATGATGTTAAGTCAAAAATCAGCTAAAAAAATTGTTGAATCAGATTGATAATTTAATATTCTCTAAATCATATACTGATAAAATAAGGAATTTGAATGTATAATCAATTTAGTTGATTTTTAGCTTCTTGTAAAAATTATAAAAATAGTTTTTTCATTTACAAAAAAATAGATAATAATATCTAGATGATACTTGGAATATAAATTAAGGATTTTATTTTGTATTTGAGGGAGGAGTGTGAATTAATGAATAAATTAAAAAAGTAATAAAGATTGATGTTGAAATATTTAGATAAATTTATAAAGAGAGTTAAAAAATAGGAGGATGATTAATAAATTATGAAGGAGGAATTAGAAATGAAAATTTAGACTAAATTTGAGTCAGTATTAATATTATCATATAAAATGATATTAAAATATAAAAGATTGAAAGATAATTGATTGAAAACATCAAAAATAGAAAGGCAACAAGAACTTGGGGAAGAGAGTTCAAGTAATATATAATGAAAGTTATTTTAAGAGCATATTTTTGATAATGAAGCAAAGTGAGTAACAAAAATGTGTAACAAATTAAAAAAATAGAGGAAATAAAGGAAGAGAATGAATTAAAAGTTTATGAGAGTTTATTGCAACCACCTTTAGAGGATAAAGTGATGATGTATAATAAATAGTAAAAGAGGAGATATGTTGTGGAGAATTGTGATTTTTTACATTATTATAATTCTGATGTGTGTATATTTAATATATATCATAACCTGTCGTATGGCTGAGGCTAAGATTTATAAAACAAAAATCCAACAACACCTACGATGATGACAAACATAACGAATCCCCAAATAAATTAACCCCATATATTGTGGAACCAAACTTCATTTCCATTGCCAATAGGAGTGTCTGAAATGCCGAAGGTAAAGAGTGATGATCCTCCTTCTCCAGATAAAGGTTAATTATTTACATAGGTCTAGATACTGATAGCAGAAATAGATGTGTTGAGTAATTATTCAGATTCATTTGTATATATTGAGGTTGAGTTTAGAGTTACACCTCCTTTAATATTATAATTAGGATAGGCTGATATTGCAAGACTAGGACTTGTATCAAGCAATGTAATAACTGAATTGTCACTTATCAAAGTTCTAGGTATTGAACTTGGAGTTGCATTTATAAAGGGGGGTGGTTACATTAAAACAAGAATAGGAGAAGCTTCTACTGATTTATAAGTTGTTGCTCCAATTGCTGTTACAATGTTTTACAATGATTATGTTGTATTTTGAGCAGTGGGAGTTAGTGTAGGACTTAATCGACAATAGCTAATTTAATAGGTATGACATTTACTTATTGATATATCCATAATTAAGTAGTGTAACTTGATTAGTATCTGAAGTTGTGGGATTAGAAACTATCATAACAACTTAATATTTCATATCGCTTGTGCTATTTGCAGATACTTTTAAAATACGGTTCTATTCAGATAATCCAAGAAGTGTGCAACCATATTGTGATTTTATATATTGAGCATTATTCAAATAGAATTGCATATTGAAAACAAAAGCTGTCCCTTAACTAATTGCAACAAATGGAACTACTGATATTTATGAATTAAATTCAAGGATTGGAGATCCTGCTTAAACAACTTATTAAATAGAATTCTTAGTGAAATCTTAAAATAATTAATTATAATACCTGAAAGTATACTTAACAAAGATACTTAGAAAGAGGGAGTAGTGAATGTAATCAAATTATTTGTTGATTCAAAACTTACATTTACAGAACTTTGGAATACTGCTTACAAATTGGTTCCAGTTCCAACAGGTACCACATTTATAATATATACACTTTAGACAGGATCTGATGAATTAAAAGGTTACAAGCATTCTTACTTTGTTTCTGATACACATAACAATCCAAATATTTGGGCATTTTATTTTTAAACATTTTAAGCTAAAGTAGAATTCAATCCTCCAAAATATTATGTTGATATTGAGAATGGTGTCACTTCAATTTAACTACCAAGGTTAATATCTGGGACTTAAAAGACCTATTGAATTGGTTAAATGAATTAGTAAAATTTAATATTTGGATTGTTTGGATAACTTGCTATTTTACTAAATAAATTGGATGTATATAAAAATGAAAATATTACTAGTGCAGGAGGTTTTGATCCATAATTATAATTGTACTAGAATTGCAATACTACAACTCCTATATTTAAATAGGTTCCTGAAACAAGACTATATGTTCCATTAGTTATATTTGGATTATTTGGTGTATTCAGAATAACGAATGATTCATTTAATAAAATTATCTTTGTCTCCAAAATTGTTTCATTTATAGGATTAAATAAAGTAAATGAAGCAGCAAATTTATCAACAACTTTAGTACCACAAACACTTACTATTCCCTATGATCCAGGATCAACAAAAATCAAAGGACAAGATTAAGAATTTGGAGCAATGTCTAAAACAGGTAATTTATAGATCAAAGGATAACTGATTTTTATTGTTGAATTACCAACAAAATCTTAAGGAGGATTATAATATACGTATGGAGTCACATACACTAATCTATTTGTTTATACAAATGTAAACCAATACTAATCCTATAACGTACTAGTTGTATTTGTTTAATTGTATTATGAAATTTACATAACTGCTGAAACTGCTGTCACTGGATATTGATAACTTGTAGTTTAGGGATATCTCTAGACTGGAGGAGTTATATTGAAATAATAGAAGTTTGTGTCATTTGTTCCATTTGTTAATAAAAAGCTTTATATATTTCCTATAAAATAATCTCTTGGATCCAATATCGTAAAACCTAAATTTGAAATTTTGTTTCCATTTGATGCTGTGTTTTTTTCTTTAACAAATGAAATCAAATTTACTGATTCAAAAGTTGAGAAATATTCTTATGCTGTTTGAGGTAACTTAGGACTTATCAATTAAGATGAAGCCTTAAAAATAACATAACTATATTCAATTTGCTATTAGAAATTGCTGTTCAAATTACATTTAACAATAAATTCGTATTCAGGTAAAAGGATACTGTTACGATATCCATCATTTCCTCTTGATTTAAATAATATTCCATCGTATTATATTGCACTAGTCACACTGAATGGAGCATTCATAATTTGATCATTTGCATCAGTTGTAATTATATAATATAAAGCATTATAGAGTGAAGGAGTGTTCTTATAAACAAATATTGAATATGTAGTTGAATTTGGAGAAATCATAGCCATTACATATAGGAAACGAGCTGAAGCAGCTGTCTACACTATGTTTGTCATCTAATATGTATTCAATTAAATTGGACTTATTAGAAACTGTTTGTATTATGTAATTGACCCCAATAAATCAACTCTCGGATAAAAATTAATAGTTAAATTAGCATTTGGAGATGTTACCAAAAAATACAATCCTTCCATTGTCAATTCGTAAGAAACCTTTGATGCTAAATTATTAGTAAAGAATTAATGTGTTCCAACTTCTGTTAAAATCCATTGTTGATTGCTTCCGTTAATATAACCTCCATTATAATTTAAAACTGTCAAATAATATTAATATTAATCAGGGTTGTTCCAAGTATTAAGGAATATCATATTTCCATAGGCAGGAACATTATATGTGAAACCTACTATATTAAGACTGTTTGGATTATTATAGGTTTGAAATGATGCTGGAAGATTGCTTATGCTAGAATTCCAACTAAACAAATCTTAAATATTAACTGCTGAAAAATTAGTTTAAACAGTCACTTAAATGCCAGTGTCTTCATTATAGGTTTCAATATTTGATGTGTATAACAGATATAAGTTATCTGAGATTAATCCAATTTATTATATTGAAGCATTACTAGTTAAATTTATAGGATCCTAAACTTAATTCCATGACAATGAAAAGTTTTTGCAATTTGATATTGATCCAATAGTTGCTTGGCAAATAGTGAAATTGCCCGTAGAAAGTGTTTTATCCTCATACACTCTCTTCCACAAAAATCCATAGTACAATGAATTTTCTGATGAAATACTTAAAGCAAATTATTGAACGATGATATCATATACAGGATAATTAGTAATTTAATTGCATGGTTAATCTTCAAAACCTTAGCATTAGAACAAGACAACATAATTAGAAACCTATACCAATTAGAGGTAGGTATCCTTGAAATTCTCTGCTGTTTGACCATTAATTAAGTAAGAAGCATCATAAAAGATTTCTGAGTACAAAATTCTTTGTCCAACTATTAGGTTAGAATTGATTCTGTAAGGACTATTGATTTAAGGAGTTGAAAGCACATTCGAAAATTAAATATCAATATTAGAAAATGCTTATTTTGTACTTGGATATCCTGCAATGATAGCTGGTCCTATTAACATTTTATTAATGTTCACAGTTGTAATCGATCCTAAAGTCAAAGGAAATAATGGACCACTTTAAACATAAGTATCCTTTTCATAGGCCTAATTAAATCCCTCAATAATTGATTAATTTGTTTAACTAATAACTGTGAAATATAATGTCATATTGCATCTGGAATAGTTTTTTTAACCAAAAGCGCTAGTAACTGCAGTGATTGTCAATTATGTTAATGAACTATTAACAGGCAAATTAGTAGTGGTTAAGATTGGGTTGTTGAATTAATAATTACTTGTATACTAACCTGAAATAGCCACCAAAATATTATTGTAATAATCAAAAGCACTAAACTACACTGATTATGGGAGGTAATAAAGCAATTGCCAATCATTAATGGCATTTAAAATACTAGGATAAACACTTATTCCATTTTGATTTGAGAAAACTATGAATCTAGAATTCATGTAAACTTAATTGTTAGAGTAATTACTTGAAGATTAAGTACTTGGAATCACTTAAGCAGATTGGAACTAACTTAATTTATATAAATTACTGTTGCTAAATTTTAGTTTATTTAGGCATTTAAAATTCCTGCTGCAATACCTTGTGAACCCCATATAGCTAAATAAAATAACGATTATGAATAATCTACACTATAGGCACTCACACCCTATGTACCTTGGTTAAAAGGATTAATAGGGGAACCTAATACTGATAAGGTTGTTTATTAGTTTGCTGTTGCATTAAAAATGAGAGTCTATAATCCTGTATTGTATGTAGTTATAAACACTAACATAATTGATAATCTTTACAAATTCCATTTTCTTGTAGGGATATTCCTGTATATTAATCTACAAAATCAGTAGTGTTACTCAGAATGCTATTTAATGTGATTTATGTTAAAACATATTAATTATTCTAACTTATTTGAAAAGCATACACATTTGATTAGCCTCCTAAATATTTAAATTTTTATTTACCTTAATTCACCAATGTGACTATATACTATCCAACAGCTTAAGTAATCACACTAGCTCCTGTTTAGATGTTAATAGTATCAAAAATCAAAGGGTTTTAATTACTTTAGCTATTATTTTAATTAACAAATTGATAAGTCAAGCAATTCGTACATTATGATGATGTTGATGAGCAGGTTAAGAGAATCATGTTTTAAATGAAATTTATTTAATAACATGTTTATCCTGTTTGAACTGTTTATAGTTAAGTAAATGAAGGTCCGTTTGATATTTAAGAATATTAGATTTGTTAATCAGCTGTGTTTTGAACAAGTGCGTAATATACTAAATTTTAGATGTTGGGATTATTATTATAGTTTGATGATGTTAATGAAATAATATTTCCTGATATTGTTCCACTTCCTAAAAAAGGATCACTTTTGGTAAATGGTGATGGTTAAGGGTCTAGAGAGTACAAAAGCCCATCTCCAACGAAATAGTCATTTAAAGGCAAGCGAAATGTCTCATTAGTTACAATAGTCAACTAGTTGTATTCTACATTTTTATTCTAAACATATTAATATGCTTACTCTGCATATTTAAGAAAAAGCCTCATACAAATATGCGAGGATGAATGCCAATTTCAAAGTGAATTGCATGAAATCTTCAAAAAATTAGATTTTTATTTATGATTATTTTGCAGAATGAATAGCTCATTTATATATAGTATTAATATCGTATATAAAGTGCTATGAATATGACGCAAGCAATAAAGAAATCCATCAAATTCTGATTTAAGCCCTCAAACTCCATCATACGTTTAACCATCGATGTTTACATTGATTCCACAAGATTGAATTAATTGTTTGTATATAATTATCATAATAATGAGTCCGTACCTCTTTTGGACTCTCTTGATTCTTGTTGCTTTGATAATACCTTAAATCTAAACTCTTTGTATTCCTTGTTTCTCTTTTCCTCTGCTCTAATTTTCTCAAACTCTTCTTTCGTTGTATAATATGTTTTTCCTGTGCTCTCATCATATAATAATACATTTCTTGGGTTATTCAAGAACGTATATGTTTCCTTTCCCAAATATATTAACATCCCCACAAAAAAAATACCCATCATTTTTAAATAAATGCTATTTTTCTAGCCTACTACTTCCTATCATAATTTCTCTAAATACCTTCTAATCAACTTGAGATATCAAGCCATTTTATTTCGCCTCTATATTCTACTACATAAATTTTCTACTTAATTCCTCAATCTATTCTCTTTGTATTTACCTTAAATCTACTTTTTAATAAATCCTTGTGAATTTTTCTAAATTTTCTTTTAAGTCTTTATTGTCTTTTCCTGGAAGTGATCCAACAATCTTATGATAATTCTGATTTTTGCTACAAAAACTATAAATCTTTATTATTCTTTAAATCATCTCAATTAATTATGAAAATTCTCTAGTACAATTTTAATCTCTAATTTATTCAAATATATAAATTATAAATAAATAACTATAATGCCTTTCCTCTATACATCAAAAACTATTTATATCCTAATTAATTATTTTGTTTGTGGATAACAAATAAAACAGAATTATTAAGAATTGAAAATTTCATCTATATATATAAACTTTAACTCTTAAATATATTTATCTTAGATAAAAAAAAAAAACCAATCAACAATTGGTG